TTTTTTCATTTTTTATATGTGAAACGTTACATTCTCAAAAAGTACTCTAAACTGTATAAATTCAATTGAAATCGATCGACCAATCACGTGAAAGTCCTCCTATGAGTTCCAATCCTTTAAAACAATCAATACACGTTTAATGAATACAATCCTTTGTAACTTGTAAACTTTCTTAATTAATTTTGAAAATTGATTTTATCAAAATTTTTTTTAATTTTCGTATTTGTGAAAAATTTGTTTTTTCGTTTTTATTATTTACAATTCATACTTGTCAGAGAGTATGACTCGCATCATTAGGAAGAAAATAAAAAATCCAAAAATTAAATACGCTTTAACCTCGCATTCTAAAGAATTTTTTATACTTTATTGAAAAAAGAAAGATTTTTTTTTCTCTATTAATTAATAATAAAGTACTTTATGGAGAATACCCAAACCAGTCCCATAATATTCAAAAACAAATGGTTTACCTTCTTACCTTTAATGTTCTTACGTCAAACATCAAATAAAGAAATGGCTTACCTTTTTACTTCACGTTATATCCACCAAAAACAACAAAACGCAATTAAAGAAATGATTTATAGCATTCTTACCCAACCCACAACTCAAAAGACGCTTTATTCTCTTTGAAAGAACTACCGACGACGAAATTTACAGAGATATTTTTGAATGAAGGAACAAAAAAATAAAAAGAAATTTTCAGAAATGCTTGATATAAATTAGATTAAGATTATACCGCAAATATATATACGAACTTCATTTGTTAATCACAGTTTATACCTAACTTTTGGTCGATATTTTTTAATTATAAAAGCAGTATAGAAAAAAAAAAATTTCAAAAGAGTTATAGTATTTTCAAATAATCTTTAAAGGCGTTAATAACTCAATATCTAACTTTCTAATACACATTTTAATCTCATGATCAGAATTTGAGGCCTTCAAAATGACTGGTTCATTATTATTTTCTCAACAAGAGTAAATGATATTCGTTAAATGGATGTCCATCAAAGTATAGAATGGTATGTTAAACCTTGGACAGTTTTTACCATATACATATTCTTTAAGAGACACTCCAATAAACGTACTTCCTAAATCACAGAATCTCTATAAATCTCTCATTATGTGGTGGCCACGAGGATGGCAATATCAATCTTGATGGTTTATTGAGTAATATTTATATTTTCATATTACTAAACAAGTTTCTACATATATCAAAAAATTATAATTTATTATCCCTTAGACTGTAGAGCAGGCAAATTTGCCTGCAAACTTAAAAAAAAAAGTGTTAATTTCTTAATAAAGTATTAAATAATAATCTTATAATTATATGAATAATTTATACTACATATGGGTTGTGATCTAAGAAAATAGAGTTTTGAAACTTTTTAATCAAAATTAGAATATTTTAAAATATAATATATAAACTTTAATTATTAAAATTTTATTATATATTAACTTAATATCAAGAACGAGATGATTTTTTTTTTATAGTTTCAGTACCTGAGATACTAGGAATCTTATAGCGATTATATGCATGTTTAGGACTATAAAGCAATCAAATGCTAATCTTAAGACCCATAAGGTCATGGTTAGACACAAGTTCTAATCAGAATCCACCTGTTTAATACTGGTCCAAGGTTTGCCATCTAGATGACACCCCTAAGAGCTAACCTTAGAGCTTCTAAGACTTAGAACTACTATCAAATTCAGATAGAGTGATCACTTTCAGGCACAGGTACTTATATCACTTTTTCTTTGCGCTTACCAATACCAATCAGAATCACTATTACTTCTGCCTAGTATTAGGTATATTATACATGACTGGGAAGGCTTAGATGTTATCATTCTTATAGAATCTCAGAAAGGTAGATGGTTATCATACTAATATCATCAAATTTACCTAGAAATTAAATTTAGCCTCTACCCTTAGTAACAGCTCAATTGAATAGTGCTGCAGCGGTGCAATACAGTTTATTATTACCATAGTCACGTGAGATACTTTGATCTTAATGTAATACCTAATCTACTAATTACTAGTTTACCACTTCTTTACTTTTGTAAGGATCCTCACTAATTAAAAATAGTCCAATTTAGCTAAAAATCAGATGTTTATTTTTAAGTTGAATTGTAATTAAATGTTAAATGATCATCCTTAAATTTTATTAATCTGATTGTTTTTCAATTGACAGCCAATCAAATATACTTTAAAAATATTATTCAGACAGAATTCAGATAGGATTCAGAATTAAAAAATTATAATCAAAATTGCACTATATATTTGTTTATTTATTTAAAAATTTATTATAAATAATAAGTAATATATAATTAATATGAAAAAAATAAAAATAAAACAAATTAATAAATGTGAATTTTTAGAAAATAAAAATCATTTGTCAACATCATCATTAATAACATCATTAAGATGTCTTTTATCAGATATTGCATCTGTAGTTGAGCTGTTTTGATCTTCTAATAATACTTCTTCTTCATCTCTTATCATTTCTTCATAGTAGTCAATATCTATATCATATATCATATTCTCTTATATAATATATATCCAATCTGAAGTACTTGCAGAATGTAGTATTACAATTTATAATTATATACATTTCCTTTGTAGCTTTAACACCTGAACTATTTTTGTATAAGGGTCAAGCATTTTATGAAGCAGTTTTTTAAGCTAAAAAATAAATAAATAAATAAGTAAAAAATAGAAAAAATATAAAAAATATTGAATATTATAAACTTTGTTTAATCGTTATGAATAGTCATATATATTAATAACAGTTTTATCTTAATTATCTTCATCAATTTTACTTATCTTTGGCAAAAGATACAAGTAATCAACTAAAATTTTTAATAATTTGCGTTTGTCATAGCTAATAATTTAGCCATTTTGTCTTTATAAAGAGCCTTTATTATACTTATATATTGTAATTTTTTTTTAAATAATAAAGATTATTAAAAATTAATATATATATAATATTAAACAAATAAATTTGTTATAATTATATCTTATATTCAACTGTTATTATGTATATATCGATTATCGTCATCAATCTTACTTTTTTTCTTTAAAGTAGCCTAGAATCTTCAGAATTTGTGAAGAAAATTCAACTAACTAGCCAATTATCTGACAGATTAATGATATTTTAAAACTATTATCTTTTACAATTCAGGAATTAATCTATGTTGAATCTTAACATTCAGAGACTATTAAAAGTTTTGTCATAATTTAAATCATTATTCAGGATAACAGTTTAAGAATCACTTTCATCTCAATTTAATAAATTTAAAAATCAAGTTAATATATAAGATATATAAAAAATATTAATAGATAAGCAATTCTACAAACTCTTACTTTTTATTCTCAAAGTTTATCTATTTGAAGCTCATATTTTAAGCTGATTTTTGATTTATTATCAGTGTGATATAACTAAAGATAGTTTCTATAATTATTTTCAAAATTCAATTGAGTTACAACTTAATTACGCTATAAAAAAATTTAATTACATCACAAGTTGCAACTCAATTATACTATTTTTTTAATTGTGGTGATCATCTTTAGATGTAATACCCTTTTATCTTTTTTACCTTCTTCAGTACTTGAGACTCATCTTCTAAGTTTCCGTCTAATTTATTATTAGTATAACGTAACATTCTTTTTCTTTTTTTAACTTTTGTTTTTTTATTAGGCGATCATTCATCAGAACTAAATTTGTGTTACTTTTTATATTGATCTAGCTTCTTTAATTTATTATTTTCTTTTACCAATTTGTCATTTTCGCATTTAAATTTTAAATTTATCTTTGCAAGAAAATTATTATCTTCTTACAATCTGTTAATTTTTTGAGCAATTATATCTATTTTTTCATTCTAGTTGAGAATATTTCTTATGTAATTTAAATATTTATTGAATTAGATTTTGATTTTCTGTATAAAATATAGGCAAAATTAGCAAAAAATGATTAAATCTGAATGATATATGTAAAATACTGACCTGATGATAAATTGTTATTACTGTCATCAATTGATGTTAGAATCATTAGAACTATTTTTTAGCTTTGATATCAGAATAAAAGCTGAATGTTATATCTTTTTGTTATTTCTTTAACCTGACAATTCCCTTTTATAATTTTAATTTGCTGATTTGCTGAATATGAACTATTAGACAAAGTTAAAGCAATTTACTAACTTGATGAATGTAAACTAGACAAAATCAAAGCAATTAAAAAACTTGACAAATGTGATGATGAAACTTTCTTATCTGATAAATAAAAATTAGAAGTTAAACTTTTATTATTTTTATTATTTTTATTTTTGTTGCTTATGATTTTAAAGAAGTATTATAAAAGTTATAAATCAGAAGTGTAAAGATTAAAAGAATTTCAAAATAAAAAAATGGTTTAAATTAAATTCTTTTTTATAGAAGATCTAATAGACTTTTTTTTTTGATCAGTAACATTTATTACTAATATATTAAATAAACTTTTAAACTTTTATTATATTAACTAATCATCTTCTTATTTTAAATTAATTATTTATTAAAAAATATCATGAATTATCTTATCATCTTTGAATTGTTTTGCCTTTTAAAATATTAATGATTTCTGATTTTCATAAGATATGATATTATAAAATTATAATAAAATGTCATATATATATATATTAATCTTAAAATATAAATCGACTTTAATTCAATTATTTTAAAAAATGATTAAAAAAAGATCATTATCAAGTATACTTAATAAAAAATCATCTTATAAAATTTATGCTACACCTTCATCTCATATATGAAGAAATAGATTAACATCTAATATATTTGATGAAGAATCTTTAAATCAATCTTAATATAAAAAGTATTCTTCTTCTCTATCAATCTGAATTTAAATATAAGTTAAAATACTAAAAAATTAAGAAGTTAACTTTTTCTTTATATTAATTTAACTTCATACTTTTTATTTCTTATTTTTTTAATAAAAAAATATTATTTCTATTATAATATTTTAGCTGAATTTTTTTTATTAGTAGATGAAGTTCATTAACATAATAAAATTTTTTGTATTCTTAATTTTAATAATCAAATACTTAAATTTAACCTTATATCTAATCACAAAAATTTTATTTATATTAAAATATGCATTGCAGATTTTAAACAATACACATAGTATTTGGACTAGTAATACATATAAAATACTATGTAATTATTTATATTAATCCTTTCAAAAAAAAGTTAATTATATAGTAAAAAATTGTATTACTATTTTTTTGTCAGAGATTGTATTTAAAATACATAAAAATACTGTTATTTTTTTATTCTTTACTATTTAAAATAAATGAAAATAATATAAATATAGAATTTTTTCATTTTTTTAAAAGTGCGAAAAAAATTTTAAATATAAAAAAATTTCTAAAATAAAAGTTACATAAAAATATATAATTAATGATGATTGATTTAAATTAATTATATTTGAAAAAAAAGAAAAGTCTAGGATAAAGACCTATACCAAGAATATAGGTTAAGAAACCTTTTTAGATTAACATCTCTATATATCTAACATGTGATAATAATCATTATGTGATCACTATACAATAATAAATAATTTTTTTTATATATTTATTTTAAGGCCTGATTTGTATATGATCAGCAGAAAATTACTATATAAGTTCAGGTGAAATTATAATAAAAAAAATATAAGATTGATGAAATGTTACAAATATAAAAAATCATAAATGATTATATAATATATTAAAAATATATGATAAAAAATCTTTAAATGTTAAATAAAAATATTCAATATAAAAATTGGTGATTTTATTTATTTATTTTAAATTTTACTTTGAAGAACTGCTTAGATTTGAAAGTTATATATATATATATATATGATAATTTCAAGTTATATATTGATTATTATTTAAATTTAAAACAAAAAAAATAATTTTTATATATTTTCTTCTACTTCTAATTCACATATTACTATAATTTCTTTTCATTTTTATGAGAAATTGGTAATCTAATTCTAAATAGTTGAAACTTTAGGTATATTATTTTTATCTAATTCTTCAAATTAAGAATGCTATATAAGTTTATTATGTATTTGTTAAGCTGAAAATTTATGATTTAGATTAGCTATTCCAGAATGATACATATTTTCT